AGGGGGGCGGTGAGGGCGGTCGTCCCCCAAAAAAAAACGCCGGCCAAAAAAAAAGAAGAGAGAAATAAAAAGAAGTAAGGAAGCGGACGTAGGAAGAAAAAGGGTTAAGAGTCGAGAACGGTATAACGAATTGTCTTCTTTCTCTAATAATTTAATGAAACGTCAAAGCTTCCGCGCTTCGCGCGGGAGGGGGGAATTGAATTCAGATAAGGATTAAGAGTCGAGAAAGGTACAACGAATCGTCTTCTTTCTCTGATATTTCATGAAACGTCAAAGCTTCTTCGCTTCGCGCGGGAGATTCGGGGAAACTGAATTCAGACAAGGATTAAGAGTCGTTTGAGAATGGTACATTGAATCGTCTTCTTGTATTAATAATCTAATGAAACGTCAGACCTATGCGCGGAGGAAGGGGAACTTGTTGCAAACAAGCAGTTTGGGATTGGGGGGGGGGGGCAAACATTCCAGGGGGCTCACATTCAAGGGGCAGTGACGTAATGAGAAAAAAAGTCCGGAAGGGGGGGGGGCAGACGAAAAAGCTGCATTACCACCACGTCTTACACGTCACATCGATCAGGTAGAGCGTAAATTGGCGTGGGGTGCAGGGCATGAGCCTCGGCAGGGGGTCAAGGGGCTGAGCCCCCGGAAGCTCAGGGGTTTTAGGTATTTAATTACTGTTAGATGAGCATCCAGGGGCCCTCTGTAAGGCAATTGGCGTGTTTCAAGGGGGAAGCCCCCAGAAGCTCAGAGGTTTTAATATTTAACTACGGTCAGAAGAGCATCCAGGGGCCCGCCTTAGGGCCCTTGGTTGAGTCCAGGGGCAGAGCCCCCGGAAGCTCAGGGGTTTTAGGTATTTAATTACGGTCAGATGAGCATCCAGGGGCCCGCCTTAGGACTCAGGCGGGTAGACAGGGGGGCGGTGAGGGCGGTCGTCCCCCAAAAAAAAACGCCGGCCAAAAAAAAAGAAGAGAGAAATAAAAAGAAGAAAGGAAGCGGACGTAGGAAGAAAAAGGGTTAAGAGTCGAGAACGGTATAACGAATTGTCTTCTTTCTCTAATAATTTAATGAAACGTCAAAGCTTCCGCGCTTCGCGCGGGAGGGGGGAATTGAATTCAGATAAGGATTAAGAGTCGAGAAAGGTACAACGAATCGTCTTCTTTCTCTGATATTTCATGAAACGTCAAAGCTTCTTCGCTTCGCGCGGGAGATTCGGGGAAACTGAATTCAGACAAGGATTAAGAGTCGTTTGAGAATGGTACATTGAATCGTCTTCTTGTATTAATAATCTAATGAAACGTCAGACCTATGCGCGGAGGAAGGGGAACTTGTTGCAAACAAGGATTAAGAGTCGAGAACGGTCCAACGAATCGTCTTCTTTCTCTAATAATGCAATGAAAAGCTCCCCCCCCCCCCCTCCCTGCACCCGCGGCCCTAGGGAGCGCGCTCTGTAAGTGATGCGCACGCTTCGCGTGCTCACTACCGCCCCCCCTTAAAATGAAATCCTGGCTACGCGCTTGCCTTAGGTCCCTTGGTGGGGTCCGGGGGCGAAGCCCCCATAAGCTCTGGGGTTTTAAGCATTTAATTACGGTCAGATGAGCATTTTTTTTACCTTAAGTTGTGACATTGGCAGGTCATTTATTTGTTTCTCCGTCTTTCTTTCTTTTTCTCTTTAACATACTCTTTAAAAAAGGAGGGGGGGGGGGGTTCGAGCCCAGCCACTTTGCAGACCATGACATAAAGGCTTCCAAATAAGCGTACTTTGCCTGACTGTAATTTGGGAATTTCCTTTTTTCCAACAAACGCATAAAAAGGTATGACTTACGAAAAAAATGGAGAAAAATGCCGGAAAATCATGTCACAACATCAACATTTGTAAATCACTGGTTTCGAATAAGAAATACATCTCCCCCCCCCCCCCATCAGTACGCCAGCGTTCAGGGGCTCATGTCTTCTCACCCCTATAACAAAAAAACGGACACGCTTTCCCATTCTCGCACAATATGTCCACGATACGCGCGTATCGCTATTATAGATATCCCCATTTAAAATACCGTATAGGTGGCATGCGCAATGTTTATGAAATTTAATTCCTGTGAACTTTCCTTTTTCTTTGAATGGAATTGTACATGTGATTTAATTCAGGTTTTTATGATTGTTACGTTCTTTTGGATTAAAAATACAAACCATGTTTACTCGTTTACTGTTTTTTTTTTTTTTTTTTTTTTTTTGGGGGGGGGCAAAAATGCGTTTTGCCCCCCCCCCCCCCCCCCCCTCCCCCCACTTCTGGCGCCTATGATTGTACCCCATATAAACGCTTAGCTGTGCTGGGGTGACGCCGTTAATTTCTGTATCAATAGCCCGTCATTTAGAATGTTTTCATCTATGAAACCCGCCATCGCTTCCTATTAAGTGGATGCTGTAAAAAAAAATATATATATATATATATAAAATCTCTCGCAAGAATATTTTTATCTGAATATGTGTATAATCAGGGTTGCCCTGGTATAATCATAGAACAACACTGTACAGTGCAATCTATGAGGAAGTACTCAAAGTTGATGTAGTGTGTTAATTGAATGGAAAAATACCATCGTAAAACACAAAGGGAATATCAATACCAGTAGTACAATTACAGTTAAGGAAAAAAATCCTTCGTTTAAAAAATCAAGCGCTATTTAAAGGATGGTATAAAGATTACTCAGCAAAGACGGTATGAAATCACACAAGAATCGAATGAGAACGTAAAACGCATCCAGGACTTACTCATGAAATGTGTGTATTTTATAATTATGCAGGTAATGTAGCGTGCCACTTGATAATGTAACATGACCCGCGAAACCACAACTATGTATTAAATGACGTTAGTTTCTGTTTTCAATGGAGATCTTTTTTATTGATAGATACTCCAGATAACACTGAAATGAAACACAAAAGAGCATGGAGTAGAATATTTTATTGTTTAAAAAAAAATGATCGATGCCCTTTTTTGTAGTGTCGCTCATCGAATCAGATGTGCTGTGGTCACGGGCAATTCCGCATTCTAGATGACGCCAAAATGCTCTGTCTTAAGTTAACGCCATTAGTTCGAATACAGTAGGCTATCATAATCAGGGAAGTTACTGCAGATACTGTATTGGTTCATTTTGTTTAATTGATAAACTAATATTATGTGATGCACTTCAATCTGTAGTCAAAATCAATCCGCACATTTTTTAAAATTTTCATCGCCCTGATTTGACATCAATGGCCATTTTTTAAAGGGGGATGACGGTTCTCAGTGTTTAACAATTCGTCCTCTACTCACACATAATCATTGAATCATAAGACTGTATTACCTCCATCAGTATAATAACATTGGCATCGACATGAGAATAGTTAAGTTTGAGCTAAATTTCATGAGCACGGGGACTTATTTCATCGCTGTCGTTGTTCACGGTATTTTATATTCACAAGAGGAATATCTGCTTTGGAACGATTGCTTTGAGGTGATCTATAATATAGGCATTGTATAGGCATTGCAAATCACAATAATTCCGGGGATTCCCCATGACGTAGATAACAAGGTCTTTTGGCGCCATTTTACGTTACGCTAATCAATTTGTTTTTCTCCGTCTGTCTAGTTGCCAGTTTCCAGAGACATGTCTGAATAGAGTTCAGGGTACAGTAAGGAGATAAATGCTGTTTGGACTTTAAAGTCTGGACAGCATTTATTCACGCATTTATGATGGAACCCTGTACCTTGAACGTTGCATATATATGTACATTCTAGTTAAACATTTCTTAATCGGTCTGAACAATATATGTAAGGCCAAGATATGAGTCACTTATTCATTTCTTTGAGGATAGACGAATATATTTTGTCATTTTGTCACATTAATTATAGAAGCCATGATTACGCATCTCTCAAGCTATCGCTCTCTCTCTCTCTCTCTCTCTCTCTCTCTCTTTCTCTTTCTTTCCCCTTCTTTCCCTCTGTTTCTTTCCCTATCTCTCTCTCTCTCTCTTCTTTCTTTCTTTCTCCCTCTTTTCCCTTTCTTTCTTTCTCCCTGTTTTCCCTTTCTTTCTTTCTTTCTCTTTCTCCCTTAATTTGTTATCTCTATTCACATTAGCAGAAATTATCAATTTCAAACATTATTTTAATGCATTTAATGCAATCAGAACATCGTACTTGGCAAGTAAAGAAGTTGCAAAAAAAAATAGAACGTATTTTCAACCGTTAAAGTTTTAGCGCCGTTTTTATATGAACCCTACTTTTAATAAATTTGTGACGCTTATTGTTATGTTGGTGTAAACGTCTGCTATAGAAATCTGACAGATAATACCAACAAATAGTCATTGTAAAAGTATCGGGGGATTTTCGAAATGGGTCCAAAGTCTTATAACAGTGCTCAAATTTGAAATTTTGAATATAACACTCACTGTTGCTTGTGAATCGAACATGGGGGGGGGGTCAACATAATTCAATGGCCGATTTGCTACAGTTCTGCATGGCACAGAGCAGGCTATGGCTCGAATTATCGTGGATTATATCACATTTTAAGAGCAATGTAATAGCTTTTTAACATATCATATATCAAATCCGGCGTTTTTCTTGGTTCTCGAATTGAAATATGGTAGTATGTGCTTAATTCATTGATTAGTCGTATTACATCAACCTAATAGCATAGGCTCAGAACCAGAGGGATGTAGTTCTTTTATTTTTTTTAAAGAGTTACCACCCTTCCGGCATTCAACAGACGGTATGATATTTATGCGAATAACATTTAGCACAGGGCGTATACTGATAACTTGTATACTACTGATTTTGTTTTTGCATGTTATAACAATGACACGCTTTCTACTTGAATATGCATTATGATAAAAGGCCAAATGCATAAACAATAAAAACAGGAAATCTCTTAGTTCTTAATGGGTGAAACGCCCATTACAAATTTATAATTTCCCTCGATTTCTTAATTACTAGTTTCTAATTTCTTGAACGATGAGCAAATTTTAAGACTTACCGAAATGCAGAATCGATGTAAACTGCGGATATAATCAAGAAAGACACCTTATGATAGCAGACTATGAGAAATGTTCTGAAGTCTTTGGTATAAACCAGATCGTTCACTGTGTAAAGAAAATGGCGCAACCGTTTACTAATAGTGCATGTAGCTCCGGTAGTCTCATTTTCGCTCGCTGGATCTGCTACAGCGCAAAAGTAGCTCGGTCGACGTCACTTTCAAACTAGCCAATCAGCTTGCAATGACGTCATATTGTATGCGGCAGCAAGTATATTTTGCTAGTTTTCTTTTGGACGCTATTGTATGTCAAATATATTTGCAGAAGCATGAATGAATGGAACACAGACAGTGCACGACCAATACAATGAATCTGGATTCTGCAGACTGCATGAGACTGATGATGTAGGCAGTAGCACGCCTCGTTGCAATTTTTATTCAGAATCCACACAGAAGAAGGCGTAGATAGGAGAACTGTTTCATGTCACAATGAGGTTACCATGATCACATTCATCATGTATAGGTATTATTATTATCATTATCCTTACTTACACACACAATATTTGAAAAAGATAACATTGACTTTTTTTCTCCCCATCCCACAGAAGAGACATAAAGCATGTCAAGTGCCTCAATTTTTTGTCGGTTAGCTAAAACATTTCAACACCCTCACAGCCTCCAACCCCCTTCTAAAAAAGAATTAACAAAGATCGTCTGATTCTCGTCCAGCTGAGAAGGGTGAAACTGATCGTCAGAGTTTCAATTTCTTTTTTTTATTACTCCCCCCCCCCCCCACAAAAAGTTTAAATAAATAAATATAAAATAAAAGTTCACTCATTCTGCGATCTGCCGACAAGCTTAAAAATTGTAGGGTATACCTGAAGAAAATTTACTATGAGAGAATTGCATCCCACCCCTTATAAGCAATAGACATTCCAATTAAATCATAATTAGGCTACTTGAGAACTGCTCAGGGGTAAATAGTCACATTGTTTCATAACTCAATTATTAGGCAAGAGTGTGTCTATCCCTGAATGGCGTTATTCCAATCTCAACAACGCCCATCCCCAAGATTAACTACAAAGAAGATACAAGGGTAATATTTGTTCCCGTAATTTTTGTTTGCATTATATTCAATATATAAACAATACAAATAATTTTCTTTGTAATTATAATAACATTAATTAAATAACTCAATACATGTACAATTCCTAAAAAACGATCGAAAAATTTGAATGAAATCAGTTATAATATAAAAACAAATCAAACCACTACCATCTGCAACTCACACATCTTCTCACATGCACAAACTATGGACCATGTCATCGATGTTTGTCCGATCTACAAATCCCCCCACGGCGCTTCCGGACTTCGCGAGCTCGATGATGAGACAATATGTTGGCTTAATAAGGATCTTCCTATCTAGATGATGTACTCCCTGATATTCTTTGCACGAACGAACGAACGAACTCACATATACGTGTACACACCACAATAACATAAAGTCACAGGCAAAGAACACCCTCGCACACCCCCAACAGCCCCCCGCCCCCACCCACACACACACACACACACACACACACCATACACAGCAAGGTAATACCTGCTCACAGTCATATTCACTTCTAATTCGTCTCATTTTAGCTCTTACAAAAAGCCCGCTAATTTCTATTCGTATATTGTAATATATAACACCCACCACCCACACACACACACTCTTACACACACAAACGCAGAAATTTTTTGTTAACCATATTTTTTCATTACAGATTTTTATTAAAAATAGATAGTTACAAACACATCAATGTAAATAATTCCATACAAATACAAATCTTAATTTCGTTTTCATACGACAAATACATTCATATTCATACATATAAATACTAGATGAATAGCATGAATAGTTATGGCTCCAAACAATTACAAATTTATGTAGACAATCTTCCTCCTGTAATACCGTGTGACTAAGTAAACAAGCATTGCAATTAAGTGGTATTTGATTTCACGACAAGTTATCTACACTATGTAAACAAAAAGTAATTCAAAAATAACAAAAGGATGGACGTTCATGTTTCCATTTCCTCGTCAGGCTTGTAAGCTGGATCCTGACATACTTTCTTCGTTTTTGCACCAGTTTTAGTCCCACCAGCGGCCTCTGCTACCTCACCTACAATTCATAAATAATGTATAAACTATTTAGAAAATTAAAAGGTAAACTAAAGGTAATAATTTTGTTTTGTAGAATTTTGTAGAAACTGAAAAAGTTTGAGCAAATTCCGAACAAAATAAGAGAGTGTACTTTTGAAGTTGCGATCAACCCTAAATTGGCAACTCTGTAACATATCTTGCAAGGTCCCATCCCATTTGATCTGTACTAACAAACACGAAACAATTTTCCTCATGAAGTCCGTTTCGCCTAACTATTGATGATAAGATAAATTATATTCCACATAATAAGAATCTTGCTCTACGATTGGTCAGAAGTAAGTCAAGTGATGAAAGATAATTCGCCCACCATTGATGGAAGAAGAAAAGTTCGTTGCACTGTGTAGATAGTAGTACTATCTACACAGTGCAACGCACTCTAATTGTAAACGCTGCGTATTGCTATCCTCTTTAAGCGCTTTTAGTGTTAGTACGCGAACTTTGGTCACGCGCGAACTAGGGTCACACCACCATATTGCATACACTGTACGTTTCGTACACCGTTTGCTAGATGTTAATTGATGACTTGTTGCTTAGCTCTACAATGACGGAAGAGGTGAAATGTTTCCGATGTGGAATATAAAAGCAAATATTCACCTTTAGGTTTCAGGCGATGGCAAACTATCACTTCCTCGGCGATCTGAATGTATACGCTATCTATCCTCAGCTTCGCTTCGGAAAGATAGCTACATCCAGATCGCCTCAGAATTGATAGTTTGTCCCATCACCTTCACCAACGGCAATTATTTGCTTATTAGCTGTTACATCCCATAAAAAAAGCATTTTGTTTCCTCATTGCCCATATTGCCACCACATTGTGTAATGGATGGTGCGTAGCCTAGGTACTCCTTGTTGCAGTGCTCGGCTGATAGCGACAAATCGCCTTTTTTTGTAATAGTGGAAAGTTGTGGTTGTCTCATAAAGCTTGTGGGTAGAATAGAAAGTTGTGAATATGTTTACCCGGTGTGCCACAATGAGGGGACGGGAGGGGTACAGATGTGTCCACGAGTGTTTATGCGTCTGACGGGACAGGAATTTTAAACTTCTCTAATTCTGGAGACAGAAAACATAAATATTTGTAATGGGTTAGGAACAAAATACTGATTTTCTTTTTTCCCCGTCTCTCTCTCTCTCTCTCGAATTACAATTTCATTACTTTCGCTCTCCGCTTTCGCCCCTCTCATTATTTCTCTCTCTCTCTCTCTCTCTCTTTCTCTCTCTTTTTCCTCCATTTTCATTTAGGGTACATATTTTTTTGTAAAATTGTGTTTACCCACTTTGAGTACAATAACAATATAGTTTTAGAAATGTTAATTATAAAAATTAAAAAATTAAAAAATTAAAAAAGAAACACATTAATAATTCATTTTTAGTGGCGTAGCTACAAGGGGGAACGAGGCATGTGCCTCCCTCAATATAATAGCAAAAAGAATAAGAGCGAGGGAAGATATGATGGAAAAGTGGTTACACGTAAAATAGTACGATAATTTAAGGATATAGAATTCTCAAACTTGCTCTTCCAAATATTACCGCATGTATTTGGTAAACGTGTATCGTAGGAGACCACAAGATAAGGCTTAATTGAAATTTATTGTAAGAAGTGCATTATATGATTTTTGAAAAATGCGTTGAGTTGATCTGATCTGCGTTCTTGATGTATCGTACAGCAGGAGAGATAAATAAATAAGGGAATAGAGACAGAGTAAAACTATGTGCTCGTTTCACTTTAACATGTAATTTGATCGTCATGATTCGGGCAGTATGGTGCCTGAATATAACATTATACATTTTTTTTCCTTCAATCTAAATGAAGTTTATACCACGTCAAAGTGTCTTCTCCCCCCCCCCCCCTTGTTTGCTTTACTACTCTCAAAATGTATAAATCAGGATAATTCATGGCAACGATACGACTGAATATAAAATATACATTTCATCTGGTGTAAGAAATATAATTTTTGCAATAATCAAGGTGTCATTGTTTACTCGCTCACAAGCAGTATTTGGGATCCGGGTTGTATGACTTCGGGCAAGACGTCCTCACTTGATAATTAGTATTCATCGCTAAATTGCACACATTTTTAAATAAAAAAATTGAAGAAAAATTGAAGAGGGAAGACCTTCTTACCAGTTACATAATATCATATTGGAGGCTGGGTGATGATTCGTTATTTTTCAAGAGTCCTGTCACATCTTGACCAGTGTGATGACATTTGATTATATGAAATGCATGGTTGTCTTTGTTTGTGAGCCCATTAAATTGTCATCATCACTATGTGGCTGTCTCCGTTATAAATTAACATACTAAAAAAAAAAAATCTACAAACCTGCTTTGACGAAATCAGCGCAGGGCTTCAATTCTTCACTCTCTAGAAAGATCTGTCTCAGTTGCAGAGCACTTTCGCTCTTCCGTCCATGTTTCATAACATACTTGGAGAGGAGTTTGTCGAATGCGCCATGTTGATTCATGGTGAGATTGACCCCTATCGCTGCGGCATTGCCCTCGGCTTTGGTGAATCCCAGGTACACGCTAAAGTCATCTGCACGGATATTCCCAAGATTAATCAGTTTTGACAATCTCTGCACAACTCTGTCTGTCAAAACGTCTGACATCACAAGTTGCGAAGTTCTAACGCTAGACAAGAAATATACATAATGTAATAACATTATGATTTAAATAAACGAATGAATGGATACATTTTCACTCTAACATAACATTATGTTTAGAACAAAAGGTAGGGTTTGGAACCCAAGGGTGGCGATTGCGCAATCGAGGGAATGCTTTTGAATAAATGATTTCATGTAGATCAAGCAATCAATAAAGACTTTCATAGAAATGATAAAATGCTAAACGGTTCGTTTTGTTTATAACCTGTTGATGTTTGGGGCAAACTGCAATATTGATATATTTTGTACTGATGTACTGATAACACATTATACTAGGAGCCACTGGCGTACTGATGGAGGGGGGACTTGGGGACAGTTGACCCCGCCCCCCCCCCCAATAAAATTCCAATGTGGTTTATTTCTAATTCGAAAACAAGTGATTTACAAATGTTGCTAAAATGAAATGAATTTCCGGGTTTTTTTCTCTCATTTTGTCCATTATGCCAGAGGCGGCACTCCCAGTGGGGCTGGGGTGAAAGGCGGCCCTCCCGCAGGAAGCAAGGGGGCACAGTACCCCCCAATTTTTAAAGCACCCGAAAAGTGCCCCTTTTCACATAGGAATAGTGCCCCTTTTACATGGACACGTGCCCCTTTTCCTTAGACATGTTCCCATTTTCCTTTGCAATAAGTGTCCATTTTCCTTTCTCATAAGTGCCCTTTTAATCTATAGTAGGTGCTACAAGTTAGGTACGAGAAGTGCCTCTTTTCACATTTGATAAGTGCCCCTTCACCTTTGATAATTGTCCTATTTTATCTGAGAGGTATGTGCCTCTTTTACTTTGACAAGTGCCCCTTTTCCTTTGTAAGAATTGCCCCTTCCCCTTTTAATAACTACCCCCATTTTAACTCGGATAAGCGCACCTTATATTATCAAATGTGCTCTTTCTCCTTTCTAATAAGTGCTCCTTTTCCTAATGATAAGTGCTCCATTAAAAAAAGAGCCACTTCCACTTCCCAAAAGTACCCCTTCTCTGGTAAATTACCCTTTTCAGGCACGAGAAGTTACTCTTTTTACTTCCTATAAGTGCCTCCTTCACCTCCGATAAATTTTGATCGGTGCCCATTTCTTTAAACTGATGCATATTTTCCTTTTTTACAAGTACCCCTTTTTCATTCACATAAGTGTCCCTTTTCTTATCTGGTCATTGCCCCCTTTCAGTTGCGATAAATGCCTCTTTTCACTTCTGAACATATCCCTTTTAACAATATATAATAATATCTTATAAATACCCCTATCAAAAACTGATGGGGGCCCCTTTTCCCGTCGATAATGAAATGCCCATTTCCTATTCTCCTTACTGACTTTTTTTCATCCCTGGTGAGTGCCTCTTTTTGAGGGTGTAAGAAGTGCCCTATTTTCACCTCTGATAATTACTCTTTGTACTTTGGCACATGCTCCTTTTCTTTTCTGATCAGTGTCCCCTTTTCCTCTCATCATTAAACGCGCCCTAGTTTCAAGCGACTAACAGCAATTTCCCCCAAAGCTATTTTCGGTTGAGATTTCCCTTTGTAGGTGCCCTTTTTTCCAGAAAGTGATCTTGGTGCCCCCCCCCCCCCCCCACTTTGGACGTCGCTCGGCCACCGTGGGGGGGGGGGGCACTGTGCCACCTACTTTTTGCAGGTACCCTTTTCCTCTCTTTTCATCTCTGGTAAGTACGTCTTTTCAGGTGCGAGTAATTCCTCTTTTCACCTTTCATATGTTTGCCCCCCCCCCTTTTTTTTTTACTTCGACACGTGCCATCCCCCCCTCCCCTTTTTTGAGCCCCTTCCCTTTTTCAAAATGCCTCTTTTAACATCTCATAAATGCCCCTATTAAAATTGGATAGGTGCCTTTATCCTCCAAAAGATTCCCCATTTACTTTCCCTCAAATGCCTCTTTTCATTTCTGTTGAGTCCCTTTTCAGGTGCAAGGAGTGCCATTTTCACCTCTGAAGGCTCTGACAATTGCCCTTTTTACTTTGACACGAGCACCTTTTCTTTTCTAATATTGCCCTTTTCCCTTTCGATAATTGCCTACTTTTCTTTTCTCCATAACATACACCCCTAATTCAAGCGGCTTTAGAGCCCCTTTTTCTTTAATTTCCCCTACAGCTTAATCGCATTTATAGATGTTATAATTATGTTACTTATAAAAGAACTTTTCAGTCTGTCTTCATTAGATCGTGTTTAATACTCATCAGGGTTTTTTTCTGGTGTTCTTTATAAGATGTAATTTGTTTGCACTGGGACCTCACAATTCTTAATTTGTTTGCTAGCTCGCTTCACTCGCTCGAAAATTAATATTTAGATATTTACACCTAACTGCAAAGTATGCTCCCTAATTAGACAGTATCTTGTACCACGTAAAGAAAGAAACAAATATTGATATCATCCCTGGAAGTGTAATCACAATCATGACAATGTAAGGGTATATACCAATGTCTAAAAATTATGTAGGTTTTGTTGATGTTTCCCTTTGTAGGTGCCCCTTTTTCCAGAAAGTGCCCTTTTTTGTTGCCCCCCTCCCTATTTTGGAAGATGCTCCGCCGCCCCTGCATTATTCTACTTGGTGGTGATAAGGATTTTGTTCTGACCCCCCCCCCCCCCCCCCACAAGTTTTGGTCATTACGCCACTGCTAGGAACATGGATGCGATTTCTGCACCAGGCATGTTAGGGATGCGACGTAGTGCGCGTACGGGTTCCAAATGTGATGGGCAAGGCTACTGAAGTTCTAAGGTTGATTTCTCAAAAGCCTTTGCGATCATTTTCCCAGCTTACCAAGCTTTGAAATTTAAGTTCTCTGCATACATAATTTGAATATTTTGTTTTACGTGATAATTACTGGAATCTAACATAAAACGGTAGTTTAGCCTATATATATATCATTGAGACGTCAATTCGAGAAACATTGGAAACATAAATTTTCCAACAAAAATAACTCAAGGGAAGTCCCAATGCCATACTGCACCGCCAATAAAAACCACGATCGGATAACGGAATTTTCCCCATAATTGTAATACACTGTATTGGCAGATCTGAAAAGGTGACCGACACGTCTATTGAAGTTGCCTTCCTTTGATTTTTGTTCTCAAAAGAACTTGGGTTTCCCACATGATTGTCCTGTATTCAGGCAAACACATCAAAGCAGCCACTCATGAATGGTTTACAACAAAGTGTATTATATGATCTTGTAGAATCTTTAGCTTTTATACTTTAGTGGGGAAAATCCAATATTCACAATGTTGAAATAAAACAGATCTATAATGACACACTGATATCACGTTTGTTGGGGCAAAGTACATTGAATATTAGTATATCAATACAAGTCAATGAGCAATAATTTCAGATGTCATGCAGAGTTCAATAAGCATATCGTCTACATGCTAAACAGCTTTGCTGACATTTTCAACAATCTTTTTTAGAATATTTTGAATCTATTTTATATTTGTGATCTGTGTTTTCTTTTATTTTAAATCCATTATTATCAATTTCATTATAAACTGCTCAATTTATAGACACACATACCCTAATAAATTATTGATCCTGAGAGATTTATTCAATTCTTGCCCATAAATCTACAAGATTCCCCACTAAAGTGTATGAGAGAATCTTTCCAACAAAAGCTTGGGGCATGATGCATGTAGGTAGAGGATAATTCCTAAGCCTCGCAGTTACTTTTCAACCTGACGTCATTGAAATGAATATGTATATATAAACCAACCACAGGTTGTGCACATAGTCTATTTTCAATTGTTTCCGCTGCCGGGTCAGTGTATAGATATCATAGTCACTAATGTAAATTTTCATAACAAACATTGTTGGCGGGGGGGGGGCGGTTGCCAGTTTTTGTCATTGTTAGATTAATTGTGCTAGGTGTAGTAATAAGGTCGTGATTAAAAAACATTTTTGTTTACAGGGGTTGATAGGATAATTCATATGTTGGTCTATTTCTTCCACCGTTTATTAGTTATTCAGGTTGTACTGTTTAAGTTTTGTTTCCTTTTGAAAAGCCATGGTTCACCATTCGTGCCCGAAAAGAAAAAAAAAATCGCTATCAAAAACAATTATTTGATGCAGCATCAAAGTATACCACCCATTTCGAATATCTCTGTTACTCTATCTCTGTCTCCCTGTCTCTCTACCTCTGTATCCAGATATTGTGTCTGTTTATATTGTGTGCAGTTTCTTTTGAGAGAAAAAATAATCAGTGGCGATGCTGCTGAAGAAAATGACCGGGGGCATTGTCCCAAATTGCATCCCCTGGTTTCAACGATGGTTCTTCGTACATATCAATCTTGGAATGCATGCATTAATTAACATTACTGTAGAATGCAGTTGAACAATTCAATTCAACTATATTTAACAAATGCGAATCATATACAAAATTATATACAAAATATTGACATTTCCAATCAAACACATACATAAAATACATATATATATTGGTTCAGTCAGTAGAGCATCCGCCTCACAACCGGGAGGGGTTCGAACCCCGGCCGCGTCATACCAAAAGACGTTAAAAGACGGGAGTTGCTGCTACCTTGTTTGGCGTTTGGCTGCCCGGCTCACGATCAATTGGGCAAAAAGAATTTCCATTTTCGGTTTAATACAATTTGGAGTGGACTAAAAGATTATTATTATTATTATCATTATTATTATATATTGAGAGGAAAATAAGTCCATGTAAATATGACCGCTTAAGATGTCAATACAATCCATTTACAATATCAGAGATAAGATCAAAATTAAATTCAAATCACATTGCCTAGATATATTTACCTTCTCTACACCCTGCACGAGAAGAACAAAGTATATTGGAGAGCTCGACAACTATACAGCGAGCTGCGTACGAATACAATAAACCGATATCATACTATTCATTGCCTTATAAACAGCAATGCATCCTGTTGAATATTGACTGTATTATAGGGAACATGGCGAAACACAAAGGCTTCAACCTTCACTCGGACA